GTTTGAGTATTCTCATCTGAGGAATGCTCCAGATTTGGAGGACCTTGAGCGGTGGAAGTAAGAATTAAAGGGGCACCGGGAAATTTTGTCCGTTTGCAATCGATAAAACGTTGCGTGCCTTAAGGCTTTCATCATCGTGGGGACTCAGTGGGACTCGGCGTTAGAATAGTCGCAAAGTAATGGTTGAACGTAAACGTGAACATGTTGGCCATGGCGCGAGGCAGCTCTGGCCTATTGTCACAATGAGGGCTCATAGGGGAGAATTTTCGTGTCCGTATAAGTACATGATGCAATGCGAGACGCCACTGCGGCTCCGCGCTCCTCATGTTGTGACTCAATTTCGTTGAAGTGCTCCAAAAACCATGCATTTTATTCGTCGATTGCGAAACCAGCCCTTTCATGTTTGTGGTAGTGATGTAATCCGCTTAACAGTTCGTGTTGTCGTTCACTCACGTTTGCTAAAACGTTGCGAAAACTGGTACTTTCACGATGGGTTTTGTGATAATGATAAGTTTGAAGGATGGCAGGGAAATCACGACGGGAAATTGCAATGCAGTTGAATATCAATTTTGTTTACGCGCTGGATAGCGAAACACTGACAAGGAAGTAGGTGGTCAATCATCAGCGGAAGCTACTTCACGGTCGTAACTGGCAAGGTTTTGCGCATTCAAGGTGCGATGCGACTGGTAGGAATCAAAGAATTCGATGGAAAGGGGTTGGGATGGGTCAACGATTCAGGGTCCATTCTTTTTCGAGTCCTTTCCTTTCTCGATGTGCTGTGGTACCACACACTTAGGGTCCAGTTTGTTGTGAGTAGAGATCGTTGAACATTATAGAAGTCGTAGTTGATCAATAGAAAGGTTGATGAAACGCTACTTATTACTCCTTACTCCGAATGACGTGGTAATTATAATCCGCTCTGCGGTGAGGTTATCATAGCCAATAAGGCGGCAGTGATATCGGAGATTACGAGAGCAAAATGTCACTTTGAATTCAAGAACACCAATGGCCGTAGCGAAAATTCTTCGCATGCACTAATTCGACATTCGAAACAGCAGAAGAGGAAAAGTTACCCAGAGCCCCAATATGTATCCTTCCTTTCGTAGCTACATTTGGAAATGGAGATTGGGAAGACAGAAGCCCCCAATATTGATCCGTTGTTTTGCTCGCTCTATATTTGTGCCACAATCAGTTTTGTCATTTCAGGTGTACTTATTCAAATATGACTCCACTCATGGTCGTTTCAAAGGAAGTGTTAGTCACGAAGGTGGCCATCTCGTTGTGAGCCAGGAAGGCAAGAGCACTCACAAAATCAAGGTCCACAACAGGTAACGATATTTTACTCAGCCAACAACTTTCAGAGTTCTTTTGGTTCCTTTAAGAGTGAGGTTTGCATTTGGCGAGGAAAGAACTTGATCGCCGTAACTATGCGGTTTTCCATGAATTGAATTGGTGATATCATGCGCCAATGATGTTTGATCCGAAAATGTTTGGTTGGTAGAAGGTCATTCAAGGTCATCCTTTCGGATCCCGTCTAAAGGGAAAATATTGTGATGGTTGGTTGTAGTCGATCACGCAACAACAAAGATGTTTGCGAAGCTGCGAGAGGGTAACCTTTGGGAAGCGCAATTTGCGGCGAATGTTCTCGTCCCTTCAGCGGCGAGTCTATGCTCGGATGTACTTTGCTCAAACAACGTGCGATTTGCAGCATAGCGGCAGTCGAGTGACGATGGCGAGGTTATTCGTGCGCCACATGGCGTTGTCGTTGTTTTCAAACGACGTAAGCTGTTGAGTAAGAGGGGTCTTGGATTTGGCTGTTGGCTTGGGCTGGCTAGTAGTAAGAGTTGGGTATGAGTACATCGAATGCTACGGGAAGGGGCAGAATGATGCAGTTCACAGATTTGGGTTGCTAGCAGCGACTAAAATTGAATAGCGCCAGCCCGTATCAAGGTAGCACTTCCCGCTGTTTTGCTGTGTTATCACTTGCATTTGCGTTTGATGGACCGAAAGGTGGCGCCCTTTGCTGCTCACCATTGTGTTGAAAAGTATTGATATTGGTTAAAGAAATGTTCCACGAACAAGCTGCGTTGCAAGCATTGCGAATGTAAGTGTATACCGCTGACAGAAGAGAAGTGTAAAGTAACAAAAAGTAAGCACGCGTGTTTTGATCAACTGCTCTTGAGTTGACAGCAGGAAGCGCTTCATTCTCACAATTCTTCGGCTGCTCCGGAAGAGTGGCTAT